ACACACAGATACACACACACATACACAGACATACATGCACACACATTTTGTTGCAGATATAGATATTTGAAATAAATGACAGGTGACACAAAACTTATTGCAAGTCTTCTCTTTTTAAGAGTTTATATGTCATTTTTAGGTTTCACTGTAATCATAATCTGGCATAATTAATAAATAAAAACTGATATGTCTGTATGAACAAAATGGTAAACTTTGACTCAATGTGATTTTAAATGTTATAACAGTGATTTTATAATGTCTAAGCATGAATCCATCAAACCTATGAACAGTACTGTTTGAGTGAGTTGAATTAGTGGTCCATTAGTGGTCTTCCGCTGCCATCTAGTGGTTATAAATGCAATTTCTCATACAACACTGTCTTTAAAATTTATAACTATTATAGTGTTATTTTTTTGCCCAATCTCTCTTAAATTTTGCATGCTTGTTTAAAATGAAATTATGCATCAATTTACACAGTTTTGAGAAGATACCTTCTCAACGGTTGCGTATAGTCGTTTTTTATGTTTTTTTACATTTTATAGCGCCACCAAGTGGCAGAGCTGCACAATTGTTTTTTATTTAACCAAAGATTGAGCTCTTACACATGTCTACCGAGTTTGGTGAAGATATCTCATTCCGTTCAGGAGTTATAGCCATTTTTGTAAAATTGGCCGCGTCTCTTTCGTACGCAACCGTGAGTCGAAATGTCAACTTTTTTTGATAATTATTGATATTCACTGACCAGGGAATATTTCTACACTTGTTTGGTTCCGATCGGACGAAAACCTAGGACTAGTTCGCAAAAGTAGGTTTTGGACAAAATTCAAAATGGCGGAATTTTTTTTCAGACGGAAATAAAATCGAAGATAGCCATTTTATTTTGATTGAGCCAAGGATTCCAATTATATAAGACACCTGAGTCTACGATAAACATTCCAGGAGTTATGAGTAGTTTCACATTTGTGATCACTGTAGCACCCCCGATAGGCCGATTGGGGCGAGTCTTTGGATCAGAGTAACGGTGAAGACTACTACAATCTGACCAAGTTTCAGCTCTCTAGGCCTTACGGTTTGGGCTGCACGATCAGTTTTAGGGAAGAATAATAATAAAAAAAAAAAAAATCCTAACAATTACAATAGGGTTTCATCACTATGTGCTTGAACCCCTAATTATGCAGGTAACATGTAAAGTGCATTAACATGCGTAACTACGTCACACTAAGTGGCCTTATCTACTATGTACTTACATCAAAGAATAAATAGAATGTACTTATTGTGTTCATATTGTATTGTAAAACACTTCTGCTGCTATTGAGGTGGGATACGGGTAAGGTTAGGGACAGGTTTGGTGGTATGGGTAGGTTTAAGGGTGGGTTAAGGTGTAAGGGATGGGTAAACAGTGTAATAATAAATGTAATTACATAAATTAATTACAGATGTAATTACATGCAGGTATCTTTAAAATATAAGTACAATGTAAAAATATTTATGGTACACAATAAGTGCATTGTACCAAATTATTAATTTAAATGTGAGTACATAGTAGTTAAGGCCACTTAATATAAAGTGGGACCCTTTACTGGGCGACCTTGTTTCTTATTGCAGTTGCTGACATTTTCATGCTCACATGACATGGAAGATTCAGTGATTCATAGATGATTATGTGTAATGATCCAACGCATTAAAGGCATTTTTGTATTGTAGGGCTCTCTGCTGGTTTTGACCACTCTGACCAGTCCAGTGTCTTTGAGAAACAATGTGGACAAACAGTTCTACACGCTGATGTTGATGTGTGTGCTAGTGATGCCAAACCTGCTGATGTTCCTGAAGTCTCTGTGGAAGTGTGTCTTCAAGAGCTATGTGGCCCCTAACCCAAGGACACTGGGAATCGTGAGTTGACATGATGCAGATTAACATATGAGAACACTCCATTCCCCAGTATTATATAGAAAAAGCATGCACAAGTCCAGCAGTTCCTAATACGTGGGCATGTAAGTGGGTAATGAGGAATGAAAAGGGGAAGTTGCATGTGATGCATTGGCCCGTGAATCAAACGGGTAGAAATAGATGGATAAATTACAAAGTAAACAGCTCACTTACTCAGATATCACTGCTTTCTGATAAGTCCAAATCAATCTTGAAATGACTTCAAGTAATGTGAGGCTGGAGTGAGTAAAATGAAAGGCACATCTCCATGTGCAAGACCATCATAACACCTGCAGTGTTTACTGAACATGTTGATGACTAATGCAAAAATGTTAGGTATACACAACATCTGAAATTTGTTACATTATTCTTATAAAGCAGGGGTTTCCAACCCTGTCCTGGATATCTACCTTCCTGCAGACTCCAACCTGCTCTAACAAACCTGTCTATAACAGCTTTGATTGTGTTGGAGCTGAACTCAACAGCGTAGGTGTTCAACCCTGCTCCTGGGGACCCACTGTCCTGCAAAGTTTCTTTCCAACCTCCTTCAGCTGGAGCTGGAAAGTGGGTCCCCAGGAGCAGGGTTTAAGACCAATGCTCTGTAGCTCTTTGGATACCCCTCCTTTAAAGCACCACTAATAAAAATATTAAAGCTAAAATGTGAGCTGACATACTCTCTGGATGGCTAACTGATCTACTAGTTGACCATCCTGATCTAACCCTTTGCCAAGGTGGTCTACCTGCACTAACCCGGCAAGTTTATGCACCTAGATACCTGTAGCCCTGGGAACTGGTTGTCCAGTTAATCAACCACTTAGACCTGGTTGAACCAACCAAAGAGCTTGAAAGACCAGCTTTGAAACCTATGCAAAACCAAGCTGAATTTATTTGGATTTTCCAGCAGGTTAGACATACCAGACGACCATTTAGCGTAGGATGCCGACTCAGTCTGCTCATGCTGTTATATAATAACGATGAATTGATGGCAGAGGAGTAACTCTTGGTGTAGCTCCTGTACTTCAGACATTCATGAACTGATGAAATGTGTACCTTGAATGCTATGGAAGTCTCAGTGTGTACACATGTAATGATTGTTGTCAATGCTTCTGCAGATGTGTGGGATTGAGAGTCTGGTGGCCGTGGGGACTGCGATCCTGGTGCTCATTGTGATGCCTAAGCTTGATGTTCTCACAAACCTCAGCATCCCCGGAGGCATCTGCATCCTTTCAGCCGTGCTTCAGATCGCCTTCCGATTGCAGACACAGAGCTGGATGATCCTGTACCCCATATGCTCCCTCATCCTAGTGCTCAGCGGCTACGTTCTACTGGTGGTCGACTACTATGTGAGAGAGTCCTCTTATGTGCCAGGACAAGTAGAAGGTTGCTACATTTATGTAGGCATTGCAATTTTTGCAACGCTGCTGGTTTCTCTGAACTGGTGGGAGAACCCTTTTCAGGCCAGCACTAACATTCAGGAAATGCTCAGCGAACTGGACACTTTCAGAGATGCCGTTTATCTGTTCACCAGCCTCATTCGAATAGCGCTGACTTTGGGGGTGTACTTTCTGTATTACTGCCTGATTGCTGAGACTCCCATTGTATGGAATGATTTCACCAAAGCCAGTAAAGGCACAGTAGAGATAGGCCTTGGGCTGTTTTCCCTGCAGGCGTTCTGCTCTGCTGCGTGCCACTGGTTTGGAGTCGTGGCCTGCAAGATCCACGCGATGAGATTTGGTTTTGCTCTGCCTGTGTCATTAACTGGTCCAGCAACACTAATCCTGGGCATAATACTTTTCTTGACGCAAGCTGAGAGTTTGGTCCCTTCATCTGAAACTGCTAGCTTATATAGCTCCGGCAACAATTTTACAATTCATACTCCTTTCTGGCCATTTTGTCATGAACTTGAAGCTCTCAAGGATGTCAATAAAACCTCGGTTATAATGTTGGAAATTTCCTATAGTATCTGCAAAACGTCACTCAACAACCCGAACGCCATGTGGCCTTTCTCCATGCTGGCACTGGAGGGGGTCTGCATGTGGCTCGGGCTGGTCTCATGCACGTATTACGTCTGGAAAATAAAGGTACAGAGAATCGAACGCACGTCCCAACTTTTCGTACGCCGCCTGTATGAATCTGCCTTCATTGACCTCTCTATGCTGCTGAACACGAAAATGAAAGTGGTTCGTACGGCAAACAAGGAGAGGTACATATAAAACCATGATGTATTTGAAATGATACACGTAATACAGTACAAGTGCACGAATTTAGTCCAAATCTGACTGTTTCCTTTCCTTCTTTCTGTCGTGTAGTAGTAGTAACAATGAAGTGGAAAACTGTGTCATTTACCTTTGTGCAACAATGTGGCATGAAACATACGATGAGATGCTAAAAATCATGACTTCAATGTTCAGGTATTTATGATGGATGAGTATTATACATGTATTTCAGCTCAAAGCCCAGTTGGTTGAAACCCCTTTTAAGCAAAGAAATGATCACTGAGGCTTTTTTTCACCTAAGGGATTTCAAATGACCGGCTGCAGTTCTCCATTCATCTGGCTTGTTTGTTGGTTTCAGATTGGACAGATACCGAGGGGATCCAAAGGAGGAACACAAGGATTGCTTTGACTTTGAGTGCCATATTTATGTTGACGATGCCTTCATGTTAGAAAAAGACACGGAGAGAAAGCTTGTCAACTCCTATGTTTGCGACCTCATACAAGTAGTCATGGAGGTGTACAGGTAAGGCAAAGCTTGGTATATAATATATATATATATATATATATATATATATATAAATATATAT